CGTCAAGCGGCCTAGAACTGACATGGATGTTATAATTAGCAGAGGCCATCGAGACGGTTACAGAAACCGTACTGCCGTGTCCCCAAAATAGACAGGGGAAGACACAAAGGAGCCCTAGATCAAACTCCTGGCAACGAAAGCTACAGTGTTCGAGGTGGAAAATACACAGAGTCAGATTGATGGCAAACTAGACCTTCCGGTAGAAAGAACTGGTGCAGACATGAGGGGAAGCCACCCAAGACAGAAAGGGAGAAAATGTAATGTCTACAACACAGCAGGACGCTGGTGGGTGGTGGGTGGTATGTGGCCTCTGGGCTGCGGAGTCCATACACAGAGACTGAAGGAGCGCGGAACTCAGAAAGAGATTCGAAAGCATCATTGCTAAAATAATATCCCAATGCTGGGGAAAACCACAGGTCGACAGACCAAAGTTCTGATAAACAAAAAGCACTCCACACTCACTCCAAAAGACACTAGATGGTTTGTGCATCCCACCATCAGCCTGCTTCACTCAGGAGCCCTACTCAGCATCTCTGCTTTGGGTAAGGTGACTTTTGCCTAGCTTGTCACTCGCATTCAGTTGTGAGGCTTCTGCGGTGCAGTACCTGAACATCTCACCGGGGACAGCCTGCTGCTGTTGTCCTTGCCAGACTCTTGCTTAGTGACTGCCTGAGAAAGAACAGAAGGGAGGCAAGAGGAGCCCCATCTCTTACACTGAATGGTGCGTGCCTATCCCCCAGGGGTTGCTTCTGTCGCCCACAGCTCCAAGAAGTACTAGGCACCCACGGGAGATTTGCTGGTGCCTCTCAACTGTTACTTGGCCCCTTCCTTAGACTCAGCCTGTGTTATGACAGGTGTGTGGGCATTCAGACTGTCCCCAGCAGGGCAGGGAGCTGGAACTATGAAGGGCAGAAAAGATTCTTCTTCCTCATAAAGTCACGGACAGACTGTGTTCCCATCAAGAGGAGCAAATCTAGTGTACGACGGAGGGAAGGTCAGAGTTGAGACACACCTCGAGACGCCGAGAAAGAGCTTCAGCACAATAATCAAAACCAGTCTAAAATCATGATCCTAAATGTGTCACTAAAAGGAAATCAGAGCATAAATGTAAAAAAGTTCATTTAATGCTCTAACCAAATCCACAGATGGTTTTGCATGTTTATCCCGATGATGGTACACCCAAAATAGTAAGAACTAATAGTTTTCTTTAAAAGAGAGCCACAGTGGGAGACGGAACAATAACCCCCACGTATGTCCCCGTCCTAACCCTTGGAACCTGGAGCCGTCTGACCTTAGATAGAAAGGAGATTTCACAAAACAAGTTGAATCCCGGATATGGAGAGGAGAGAGTGTGCCTCTGGATCCCACGCATGGCCCCAGCAAGACATAAGGAACTGGTGATTAATATTCATAGCTGCATGACCAAGTGAATGCATGGGAGAGAGAAGCCGTCACGGTCCAGCAGCATGAGTCTGCCGCAGCTGACTCTGACGGTGAATGAACAGGGACACATATCTGGGAATGTCAGCATCTTCTAGAAACTGGGGAAGAGAAGAAATCTCCCCTCCAAATGGCTCTGGAAGGGGAGGCAGCCCTCAGGACACCTTAATTTTAGTGCAGTGAAACTGAGGCCAGACTGAGGCTGGATGCTGCTTGTGGTAGCCGCTGTAGGAGGCTAATCCGGCCTGCTTCAGCAGCACACTGAATCTAGACCGGTGTGGCGCATCTAGCCTTTCCCACCAATCAGGAAATACGAATGAATTCTAGTTTGCTGTTTTGTCACAGCCGTGATGTGACTACTGAAACCAAGCCACAGACGATATCTGAGTACACGATTGATTTCTGAATGACACCTCTCCCCGTCCACGCAAAGCCCAAGTGCTCATTTTCCTCCTGGTCTACATCCTGGCCCCGTCGTTAGTGTTTGCAGCTCATCCTAAATCTGTGCCCCCCCCCCCAACTAAATGGCTTGAATTGCCGAGTCTTGAAGGGAGGAGGGAGGACTCAGCTACGAAGCTGCTGTCAGAGCGTGTGACTTTCAAACTCAGACCCTGAGTTTGTTTAGGGTGCTCCCAGGACATAGCTGGTCCCGCCTTCCTGCTTCCTAACAGCTGTTTAGCCAAGCTCGGCCCTGAGCCGCAGCAGTGAGTAACCAAATGATGAGTGTTTTCCTAAATGGTGCTGGCTAGCTAGGGCAAAGCCAAGAGCATCCCCACACGGGGCTTCCTGTGACAGCGCCAAGGCCTTCAAAGGGGGAGGGAACAAAAGAAAAGAAAAATCAGAATGTAAGGCTCGGTGAGATCCAACACCGGACTCCAATTCATCAGGAATAATTGAGAGGGGGGATTAGCATAAGAATGAGGTGGATGCGTGAATTGTTAGCTGGCAAAGCAGCCCCTGGTATGAAACGGTTTGATGTCTAATTTAATCTCTTGGATGATCTGAAGTCACTTCAGGGTGCCCTGTGGTATTTGCAATCACAAATATTAACCATTAGGGTATGGGTCGTATAAAACGGTTGAGGACATCTGAGTCTTCCATTGGCAGGCTTCTTAAGACCTCATAGTCACACAGGCATGTTTGAAGGCCATGCATGTTCTTGGAGTTTAGATCTGGACACTCACGAAGGCCTGGCAGTGGCTTGGGGCACTCTACAATGAGGAGCTGCTTGTGGCAGGCTCAGCATACCTCAGGATTTACCAGCCTTTGTGTTCCCTAGGATACAGGGTGGAACCCCCCCCCACTCTGCCTCCGCCCCGCCCCCAGGGTTCAGGTGTCTGCTGGCATCCTCTGCTTGTCCTGCGGTTTCCTCACTTTCTCTTCCAAACTGCACTCCAAGGCACAGGGACAATGTCTTTTCCGAACACTGCTCCCCTTGCCAGGGTCCCTGCCAAGCTGTGGTCAACAGAGGAGGGAGCACAGCTGTGTCTCCTTTTCCCAAAGATCACATCTTTGGCGGTTCCTTCCCGTCTTGGTATTTACAAGTTCAGCAGCAGCAGCCACAAACCCCAGGAAAACTGGGCAAACTATGTCAGGGACAATGCGACTCACGGGCATTTCTAGTTCAGACTCCACTTAGGAAGAAATTTTGTCCAAAATGAGGACCGGCTCAGCCCTCTGTGCCCTTCCAGGGGTGGAGCCTAGCCCTCCGAGCCGGGAAAGGCAGACCCTGTGAAGAAAGAGCTAAGGTGCAGTTTACTGAGTGTGACTGCCTCTTGCTCACAAAGCACCTTGTCCTTGTCTCAGCATCGAATGAGAAAACAAATCACAACAGCCAAAAAAGCCCAATAAGGATGCAAGCTACAGCTAGATCCTATACGCCCAGAGCCTAGCGTGCAAAGGTTTGGTCCTGTGTCTGTGGCCATACGGGAAGGAGGCAGAATCTTCATGAAATGGGGCCTGTTGGTGATGTCGTCAGGTAACTGGGGGTGAGTTCTCTCTCTAGCACGATGAATAGCTTTGGAAACTGTAAAATGATATGGAGATGTCCTATATATGCTTGAGGGGGCATTAGGAAGAATACCCTGACAGAATGTATCAAGACATCTTAGAAATGTCCATACCCTTTGACCCAGTTATTAAGACTCTGGTGTAGGAGGTCCTTCTGTATTTGTGTTGCTTTCATTGGTTAAATAAAGAAACTGCCTTGGCCTTTTGATAGGGCAGAACCTAGATAGGCCGGAAGACAGAACTGAATGCTGGGAGGAGGAAGGCAGACAGGGAGAGCTGCCATGAAGTTAGAGATGCTGAATCTTTCCCAGTAAGCCACGACCTCATGGTTATATACAGATTAACAGAAATGGGTTAGATCAAAATGTGAGAGTTGGCCAAGAAGAGGCTAGATATAATGGGCCAGGCAACAATTAAATCAATACAATTTCTTTGTTATTTTGGGGTTAAGCAGGCCGGGCTGAGGGATGCGGCCCATGCCCTCCTACTACGGGTGTAAGCTAGCAGAGTGGGATGGAACAAAAGGGGCCTCGCTCCTCATACTACAAGATTCCAGGCCAAGAAAATTATCCTATAAATAAAAAACTTTATATGAAAAGATTATTGATCTATTTTATTTTTAAAAGATGAACTATTTTGTCTAAAAGTGAAAACTGGAAGTAGCCTAAATATCCAGCAGTAAAAAAATTAAGCAATTATAATATACTGTTGGATTATTATGTAGTCATTGCCTATCTTTATTAAACATTTTATGACACATAGCGGAGCGGTTTAGAAAGTTTTAGGAGGTGTGGCCTTGTTGGAGTAGCTGTGTCACTGGGGGTGAGCTCTGAGGTTTCAAAAGCCAACACCAGGCCCAGTCTCTTTCTCTATGCCTTTGGATCAGGATGTAAGACTTTCAGCTACTGCTCCAGTGCCTGCCTGTCTGCTTCCTGTCATGATGACCATGAATTAACCTCCCAAATCGGTAAGCAAGCCCCCAACTAAATGCTTTCTTTTGTAAGAGTTGCCTTGGTCATGGGGGCTCTTCACAGCAATAGAACAGTGACATGGAAAATCATCTCTGATCTTAACCCCATGACATGACAGTTCTGTTTTACGGATGAAGACGCTTCTCCTGGCCAAGAGATCAAAGCCACAGAGTTAGTCCCTGTAAAATGCAGGTGGGCACCCAACTCAGGGCTGACACAACTTTGGAAGACAAGACCCCAAACTCCAAGTCTGGGCAGGCTGTTGTAGCTGATCAATGGGGAGATTGTACCAAGGGTGGCCAACAGAAGAGCCCAGTACCTCCGCAGTGTGCTCACCACTGACAGGTAAGAATGTGTAGGCAGCGTAGCTGGAGCTCCTAAGTTTTCAAGAGAGTCCAACCAACGTAGATTTTTATGTAATTTCTGTCGCATGCAAATTCAAAATTTTCAGAACCACTAAGTGAACCATATTAACTGTCCTGGCAACAGACCACCTTATAAACTCAGACCCGCGCTCTCCCGGGGCCCATCTGGGTCTTGTGACAAATGCCCTTATCTGTGCCAGGCCAGGGGCCCTACCTGTACAATCTCCAGCATCTCTGCCTTGCTGATGTAACCGTTGCCATCCAGGTCGTACATGCTGAAGGCCCACTTGAGCTTCTGCTCCAGCTTGCCCCTCGACGTTACGCTCAGGGCGATGATGAACTCCCTAAAGTCTATTGTCCCATCTCCGTTTGCATCGAAGGTGCGGAAGACGTGCTCTGCAAATTTGGAAGCATCCCCATAAGGGAAAAAGTTCCCGTATATTTTCTTAAACTCTTCCATTGATAAGTGTCCGCTGGGGCAGTCTCTCAAGAAGCCTTTGTACCACTCCTGGATCTCGTGCTCAGTGAAGTCCGTGCTTTCCAGCAAGTCCTGCATGACTTCAGGGCGCAGTTTGCTGTTCTGTTTCCCCATCCTGGTGGCAAGAACTCAACTGCAGAGAGAAAAGAAAATACATATCATAGTTGTTAGAGCTATCTTTTAGGGTCATGGGGTCATCTGGGACGGCTCCTTGGGGAGAGGGGAAAACAAACTCTATATTAGCCTGATAGCTAAAGAAAATGATGGAAAACAGGTCAAAGATGCAGAACCAACCAGAAAGGGGTGGATGGATGGGTGGATGGATGGATGGATGGAAGGAAGGAAGGAAGGACAGACGGACAGACAGATGGATGTACGGTCAGTCAAATGGGTGAATAGATGATCAGATAGGCACATAGAAGGAAGGTCGACAATTCATTCCTGGTTTATTAATTTGCAAGAGTTCTAATTTCAAATCCTTTAAGCAGAACTAAAGGAACAGAAGAGGGAGAGGGAGAAGGAAGGAGAGAGGGAGGGATGGGGGAGAAATACGCTAAAATCTCTCCCTCTGTATGAAAATTTTGCCTGCACAATGTGTATCTATGTGGCTTGGTGCCTAAGGAGGTCAGAAGAGAGCATTGGACCCTCTGGAACTGGGAATGCGGACGATTGTGAGCTGACATGTGGGGGCTGGGAACTGAACTGTGGTCCTCTGCAAGAACAGCCAGTGTTATAAACCCCTGAGCCAGCGCTCTAGTCCTGGAATTAATCTTTGGTACGAGAAGCCTTTTACATGATGCCACGTGTTCACATGCTACCCATTCCCTTGAGGGATCTCAAGTGCAGTCCTGACTACAGCTGAGAGCTTTGTTCTACAGTGGGCTGGGATGCCCGGATGCTGAGTGGGTGAGATGCATTTGGTCTGGGGCCTCCTGTATCAACAAACAATTGAGACAATCCTCTACAGATACACACACAGGCCAATCTGATCTAGGCAATTCCTCTCAAAATTGACTAGAGACTGTGTCATGGAGACCATCAACACTAGCTAGGACTGTAGTCAGAATACACCCCTGGTCATAGAAGAGTCTGCGCCCTTGCATTTACAGGCGACCTGAGGACAATACAGCCCAATCTTAATCCTGACTGATTTCCCACGTTGGAATATTTATCCCCCCCCCCCCCCCCACACACACACACATACTGTCTGCCCTGTAGCAGATTATACTGGGAAGCGCTGGCTTTGCTTCACTGGGGCTCATCCCACTGGACACATTGTGAACTAAGGCCAAAGGAACGAGTGGGAAAAACATTGCTGGTAGACAGAAAGATGACTCATTAGCAGATGGACACGCAGGATCGTCCTGGAAGAGGAGGCGTTGCCAGGGGGCAACTGGCTTTCCCATGCTCTTGGTCACACTACAAACCACCCGGTGGTTAGAGCGGCAGCCTGGTCTCAGGGCCTCTGGTACTGAACTGTCTGAGGCCCTTACTCGGGAGAAATTCCTACAGGGCGGTGTGTTTGCGGCTCCCAGGGCTCAAACCTTTCTAACATCCATAGACGGGGAAACCTTAGGATCCTTAGGAATCGCCCAATTGGTTGGTTTTATTGTCTCTGTAACTGACTCATAGTTATTATATATATGTGGCTTACAATGCGATGTTTCTATAGCCGTGTGCCCAGTGTGATGGCCAGAGCAGGCTATTTAGCATATTATCACCTCAAACATCTTCAAAAGCTTCTTCGCTGGTTATATTGAAACACACACCATTGTTAACGATGCCCTGCTGTGTGGGAGAACAATGAAGCCTGTCCCCTCATCTAGCTCTGGCACTCAGTCTAACTCCTTTTAGAATCTGAGTTCTGCGCTGCCGCTGGAACCTGGCTCTGCTTCGACTCCCATGAGGCAACCTCTGAGGGGTTGAGGCGATGAGGCGGCCTTTCCTGCGATTAGCGTGAGCGACAGCTGCAGGGAGGCCTCATTTAGAGGTCCCTGTGAATGTGAGGTTGAGCGGAACCCACTGATACAGAGGAAAAAAAATTAACTTACAAATGAAGCACAGATTGGATTTATAAACTGAACATCCCAATAATGTTCACTTCCCTCTCCTGGAAGTAAGAATCCTCCCTAAGATAGAGGCTCGCTTGTATTAGAATTTTAAAACCCTCATTTAGTTGTTACATTGGCAATTTGCCTGTGGCCAGAATTCAGAAACAGGAGTTGATACATAATGCATAGGTTTGCAGACAGCCAACACGTTTGGTGGGATTTGGAATTTGCAAGCGATTTCAAGTTCTCCTTTCAGGAGTTCTGTGGATTCAGCTCTTTGGTATGGTATCCATCCAATCAGATGGCTGCCGTGTTTCCAATCAGATGGCTGACATGTTTTCAATCAGATATCCACCATTACAGTTCTGTTATCTGCAAATCATCTGGTGCCTGAGGAAATGGGGGGTTTACCATTTTAATGTTTAAATCTTCCTGTCTAAGGAGTGACTTCTTTTACTGTGGAAACAAGGCTCTGCTTCTTCAAAGCCAACTTCTGGTCCTTTCCCAGCCTTATAAAGTACTTCTCACTTATTAGCTGTTTTGTACAGGCAACAACATTGCCTCAACATCCTGACTAACTCTCTCGGAAGGCTGATCTGTGTGCAGCAATTTTTCAGTAAACACTAATTAAACCACATTCACAATCTCATTAGCACAGAAAGACTAACACAAACAGAGAAAGGAGCATAAACTAAGTCATCTGGGAAGCCGGCGTTTGCAGCTCCGTCCAGGGGTTGTTTCTGGAGCTGTCGACTGAGTACTGATGTCTGAACTCAATGACGCCATCTGCACTTGCTTGGCCAGAAAGAAACCAGAAGCCTTGACCTGGGATAGGCTTTCATTCATGGGTAGACCTGTGAGAATTTAGACGTGGAGAACTGTGATAGGCTTTCATACATGGGTAGACCTGGAGACCTCTGATAGGTTTCAATCGTGAGTAGACCTGTGATAGACTTTCATTCTTTGGGTAGAGGGGAGGAAGGTCTGGGAGTTTTCTTTTGGAAAACAGGAGCGTGTGCCTATTTGAATAGATGAAGGGCATGGAGAATAACTCCAGGGAAATACTGCATTAGTTGATGGTCAGGAAGAAACTAGTACAGAGCCAGAAGTTGAGCCCTGGGCCAAATCCTCTTCATCGCTTCACAGTCATTAGCTGATTTTGTGCCATTGGACATAACAGGACAGAAGAGAGTGCAGGGATTCAGGAGCCGGAGATAGTTCATCAGGAAGGAGTATGCACTGCCCTTGCAGAGGACCCGAGTTCAGTCCCCATCACCCACATTCCCACACTGGGAGACTCACAGTCCCTGTAACTCCCATCCCCAGGAGATCTGCCATGCACACCTGCCCATGCATGAACAGAAGCACATATAGATAAGATTTTTTTTTTTTTAAAAAAGAAAATGCTTGAGCTCAAAGGCTAGCTCTGTTGTTTAATTGTTGAGGAAATGATTCAATTCAGGAGTGCACCTTGGTGAAATGAGTTTAACATTGCAGGTTCACATTCTGCTCTCCTGACGTGAGGATGCGGCGAGGCATCGAGTATAGAAAGGTCCAGTGTTGAGTTAGGAATGATTTTGTGGTAACGCCATAGCCTGGTGCGCTGCAGGTTGGTTCCCAGCGGTGCTGAGACAGCAGAGTCACTAAGAGGCGAGGCCTGATGGAAGGTAGGTAGGTTGTGGGGTTCCTCCATCACAGTTGATGTAACGCTGCCTTGCAGGGAGGGATAACCTTGATTCAGCTCCTGAGAAAATGGGTTTTACAGAAGGGACAGGCTTGCCCCTGCCCAGCTTCCTGCTTTCTGTTTTGCCATGTGACCTCTCTCAGTGTCATACGTGCCCCTGACATGACACCTACCATGCTGTGACATGACTCAAAGGCCCTTACCAGAGGTCAACAGACAGAGCCACCTAACCATAGCCTTTCTACCTCCAAAACTGTGAAATAAATAAACTGGCTTTCATGTGAATACAGCCTCAGATATTGTCTCAGGAAAATAAAAGAGTAAGGCAATTATCCTTCATACGCTATTTTTCTGAACGTTCACATTTACTGTGTGACCAGCAGGGTAGACTTTCTCCATTTTATTAGCAAAGAGATTAAAACTCAGAAATACTAATCGACCCGATCTAAGTCACACAGCTCTCTGAGAAGCCAGCCATGGGTGTCTGTGCATTGGCTTTTTCATTCTACCCTTTATTATATTATGAACAAAGCACATGCAGAAATTATAACCATTTCATAAGACATTAGAAGGATGTGGACAAGAAGAGCAGTCTCCTAGTGGCCCCTTTATGTCACTAATAGGCACCAAATGTTGTCGGAGAGAGTTCTGAGGATACACGGGGGCCAGGCAGGCGGAGGTCCTCCCCAAATGGTGTTTCTAACCAGTGGCAAGAGACATACAGGAAATAAGAACAGTAATATAGGAAACGAGAACAGGAAGTGAAATGTTGAGTAGACGCGTGCCACGGAGAAGGTAAAGAGGACAGGAGCCGAGTGCCAGATGAGCCAGAGTTCTGACTAAGAAGCCAGAGAAGGCCCCGTCGAGAAAGTACCATGGACCAGAGCAGAGCCACGAAGAGGTCAGAGACCGGCTAAACTGAACTAGGGGCACACTTAGCGTGACACAGAATATGACAGAGCACAGGGCATGAGAGGATGAGAAGATGAGGCCGGCAGGGCCACGAGGGATCAGATCATCTGAGCAAGGGCTTGGCCTCAAAAGCTAGAGGAGTGAAGGAGTGCTTTGTTTCCACTGCTGCAGCTTCGGGGCTAAGACAAGCTCACGACGGAGAACCCTGAGGGAGACCCGTGAGGAAGGCCTTGCGGTGGCCCAGCCACAGGCTGTGCTGGCCGGAATCGGGGCATTCACAGCAGCAATGGTGGGACAGGTCGCAGGATTCCAGATACAGCTCGATGCTAGGGTTCCCGGGTTGTAAGGTGCGGGGGGCATGGAGGGGAGGGGGCAAAATAAAACAGAAGTTCACGTCCATTATACACACGGCGCAGGAATCTGCAGTATGGAGTCGGAAGGGGTCCACACAGCCAATACGAATGTGGGAGGCGGCTTCAGCACGTA